ACAAACATAAGGAAGCTGATCCAGGTGGCTGCTCTGCATATCTGATCTGGGATGGCCGGTGCTCTTTCCGTCCATGAAGAGGCCGGAGCCCTGGTCGCATGCGCCGTAATATGTTCCAGAGGAACCATTTTCTCATGTACATAAGTCTCAAAAATGGGCAATCGAATCCCATCTGAAAATTGTACTTTTAGATGCTCTAACTCCCTTTTTGGACTGGAGAAAAGCACAATAGATTCTTGGATTTTCTCCAGTTGCTGTTTTTTTTCTAAGTAATCCAGGATGTACCTTCTGACACAGAGGCGTAACTAGAACCTTCAGGGCCCCGGTGCAAGAAACCATGAAGGGCCCCCCTCTACCTTCCACCGCTATGGCACCCCATGGTTAACAGGAAGGCTGCCGAGGTCCCCAGCAAGTGCGGGACCTCAGGCAGCCGCTTGTTTAAAATTTTAGTGCCGGTGTTCTGTCGAGAATGCCGACCCAGTATTTGCGCTTACGTACAGACGGGATTAACGAGGAAACCGGCATTTATTTCCAAAGTATTCGTTTGTAATGGTTAATTGTGACCGTTAATAATATGCCATTGATGGCAGTAAATTATGGATGGCAGTAAATGATGGATGGAATATTATTAATGGTCACAATTAACGATTTAAACAAAATACTTTGTAAATAAATCCCGGTTTCCTCGATAATACTGGTCTGTGCGCAAGCGCAGATGCTGAGTTCGGCAAATTCGTCCATGTTGGCATTCTCGACAGAACACCGGTATCTGCGCTTAGTATCGGGGCATTGTCACGAGTATGAGTACTCGTGAAAATGCCCAGTATTGGCACTGGTGGGTGCATCCCTACTTAAAAATATAATGCATTGCTGGGACTTGTAGTCCTACATAGTTGGTGCTATTCTGCATTGCTGTAAAATGATTATACAGTAATGCAGAATAGCTCCAACTATGCAGGACTACAAGTCCCAGCAATACATTATAATGTGAATAAATATAAAATTAGTTTGTCTTCAACCCCTTTCTCTCTCCCCTTCCCCCCACACCGGACACTTACCTGACTCCTACAGCCGCTCAGCTTCCTCGTCTTTGGCGGCCAGGGGGTGGGGCAGAGTGAAGAGGGTCCGTCCTCTCCCAGTCCCAGCTGAAGAATGTGCTGCCTGGCGACGCCTGCTGTGTCGGTAGCGGCCCCGCCAGGCAGACAAGTGACACACAGAGGGGCCTCTCTATCCCGCACAGCCGCTCATACATGAAGAGCGGCGGAGGATGGAGCGGCGCTATCTGGAGGCTACACGCAGCATGAGGAAGCTTTCGGGCCCCACCAACAGGCGGAACGCCAGGGCCCGGTCGCAATTGCGACCGCTGCGACCCTGGCAGTTCTGCCAGTGTTCTGACATCAATTCCCTGCAGCCATTTATCTTCTTTATTGGCAGGATTGGAATACAAAGAAGGAATGATTACTTCTTGTGTTCTGTGAAACACCGAGGCCACCTTGGGTAAAAAAGCTGGGTCTGGTTTGAGAACAATCTTGTCTTGCAAGATAGTGCAGTAAGGATTTACCATGGAGAAGGAGTGAATTTCACTGACTCTTCTGGCTGATACTATGGCCACTAACAGTGCGGTTTTGAGCGTAAGCACTTTAAGTGAACATGAATCAATTGGAGCGCATGTGCAAGTCACGTTGGACAACTCCACAGCGGTTGCATATATAACCCGGCAAGGGGGCACGAAGTCGCATCTCCTAATGGCCGTGACAGAACCTGGACGGAGAGCAATCTGTGGTCACTTTCTGCAATCCACTTAAAAGGGAAATTGAACTCCTTAGCAGACTTTTTAAGCAGAAGAAAACTGCTTCAGACAGAATTCCCTCTAGGCGACCAAACTTCATCCCCTAAGGTCATTACAGAGATGTGGGGAATGCCCGATGCGGATCTCTTTGCCACAAGGGAAAACAGGAAAGTAGATCAATTCTTCTCCCTGTGTCTAGGTGACGGGGGTCCTGAAATAGATGCTTTTGCTCAACCCTGGAACTTTCCTCTGGCATATGCTTTCCTGCCTTTCAAACTAATTCCAAAATTATTATTGCAAGACAAGTCTTATTTTTTAGAAATTTTGGACAAGGAAGCATCCAGTTTGGGACACTCCACAATCTTCTCCATTGAAAGGAAACATGCGGTTGAGGCTAGGTGGAAAGTGGACTCTCTTTTCCGGCTCTGCCCATTCAGTTATAATGGCTTCTTTGAGGGATTGATGCACAAGAAAAGTACGTCCCTGTTGTGAATGTTCCGCATGTTCTTCACTGAGTCCCAGAGTATCCCAGATAGCTTTTAGTAGCTCATTTGTTTCTGAAGAAGGAAACAAATATAAAGTGGCTTTAATTTCTCCCTCTTCTTTAGAGTCTTCATCCTTCACCTCCTTCAGAGTCAGAGGATGAATCTGGAGATCTGCTGGCAAAACTACTACCACTCTCAGGATAGGCTGCAGGAAGGGTAACTGCTGATGATGGCCCGGTAAAGATGAGAAGGTTGCTGTCCGAACAGGTATTGCCCTGAATGATAGAGTGAAACGACTGAAAGGTGGCTACCATTTCCTCTCTCATGCAGTCTAGCATTCCTTTAAAAATTCCTGCTTGCCCACACAAAACTGGCTTGCCCACACAAAACTGGCAAATTGGTTTCTTATATGAGGAAGCAAGTTTTGCGTTGCAAGAAGCACATCTTTTGCTCTTGGAATAGGTAGCAGTAAAAGTGGACAAGGGTTTCTCGTCAGTGGCCCTGGCCTGCAAAGACAGCATGCAAAAAATGTCCTTGCATTATCCATGGAACAAGCACTAATGTCATCTATCCCAAAGAGGAGGAAAAGACCACACCAGTGCTCCCGAGCCCCTAAGAGGTACCCTTGCCCTGAAAAAGGTCCCCAACACCCAAGGGTACAGATAGGAAGGGAATGAAAAAGCACAACAACACTTCCGCCGATCCTTGGAGCCGGCTGCAGAGGGATACCTCAGATCAGTGCACCCTGTAGCCGCTGCAGAGTCTGTTGGCATGGTGACCCACCGTTCAGAAGACTTGCGCTACTTCCCCACCCCCCTCTCCTTGCTGATGTGGTCCACAAGGTCCTTGTCAGCCTGCTTCAAAGCAAACGCTCCACCGCATGTAGCATGGCTGAGCAGAAGAATCGGGGCCGCCTCCTTGCTAGCAGCCCAGAAGTACCCTCTTCCCTGGAAGTGCATCACCATCATGACCTCACTTCCTGCCGCAGACCTCTGCCGGAACTTCCACTCGGACACCGAATGCCTGCCTCTCTTCCAGGCGACAGGACGGTAGGAGGAAGACCGGCTGCGGGGAGGGGGGGAAGCAGCCGCTGCCACTAACGTCCGCTCTCACAAACCCGCACAAAGCATATCCTCTACTCCCCCCCACCCTCAATTCCCAACTCCACAAGGAAAGGAGGGGAAGACGGGGTGGGGAGAGAAATCCCCTCGTAGTGACAATCGCGGCCAGCCTTCCTCCGGGGTTAAGAGTCCCAGGGGGTAGCCGAAGAGGACCCAAAAGGCAGGCTGACTAGAGAAAACTCAGCGTGAGTTGTAACACACAGAAGGATGGTCACCGCTCCACAGGAGGAGACCTCAGGGCTGTGACTGGTCCAAGCCATAATGAAGTAAAGGACAGGTGGGGGACTGTCCAGGAAACCTGCCCATGGGTTCCCCAGGATCGTAGATCCTGCTAACTGGGACACATGAGGCATAAGGCCCCTGCTGCTAGCACGCAGGCCTCAACAGAATATAACAAAATGTTGCGATGCTCCTGTTAGGTCAGAGGAAACGCAAATAACCGAGGTATGCTAACACCGTTCCTTTTTTTTAATTTGATGTGGATGATGTGTTTTCTGTTTCAGATGGGAGTAGCCTATCTCTCGAATGCTGTCCTGGAAGATGACTTGGTAAAAGCGGACAGGGGTCTTACAAGAGAACTATGGCCCAACCTTTTTTGGCCATAGTTCTCTTTAGGGTCCCAGGAGGACATATACTAATGTCCTCCTGTGACCCAAAACTCAGCATATAGCGGGATATTGCCCGCTATATGCTGACAGCGCAGAGCCATGCTGCAGTGGGGACAGATCCTGACAATATATACAGCTGCCTGACAGCTGGCTCTGCCCACCCGGGGGAATCCCTGAGGGCGGCGGTGACTGACAGTCATCGCTCTCTGCAGGGAGATGATCAGGAACTCAACGATCGGGGGTATGTGATTGCTCAGTTCCCAATCAATAGAGTCGACGTGCATCAGCTTCAGTGTGACATATCAGCTCTAATTAGGGGGATGAGTGTATTTCACTCACCCCATAATTCTCCTTTACCCATTCCCTACCCTTTACAAAACAAACAAAAAAGTTTTGGCTTTACATACACTTATGTAACCAATAGATTACAGATGATGCGTTCATCTACACAAAACATATTACTTTTAGGCTTTACAACAGTTATAAATGTGAAGATATCTAGGACAGTTATCTGTTTCTGGTGCCCTGAGAAGAGAGATAAGGGTCTGCTACACAGAAGCCACACTGCCTACCTCTCCGCCACGCTGTCCATTCATAGAAAGATTTGTATTTTGTGACTTGTTTCACAGAATACAATGCATTCTGTGATTGGGCAAGAGTGGAGGTGGAAGGGGCGAACAACAGGACAGCTGTTGTGTAGCAGAAGCAAAGTGTGTCTGAGCACTGGAATTATAGCAATAGCTATGCTATCAGTGCTCAGTATAATTGTAAATTATAAAAAAATAAAAGAGCTGCAGGAGGTGACATACACCTTGCTGTAGCAATTCAGCAGATTTTAAATAAAGATAACTTTCCTGGAGTTCTTCTTTAAGTACTACAGATGATCACATTTTAATGTGCACATTTTTCAATGGGCAAAAGTTCTTTCCTATTTTTGCTAAAAATGTATTTAAATAATATAACACAAAGAGGTCTTACACAACGTGGGTAACCTTACCTCCTGGATGGTGGTTGGTAGCATAGCCCTGCAGAGGGTGAGGCGTTCCATATGCCTGTCTGTGCAAAATGTCTGTTTCTGGGTGGGAGCCTCTTGAGCTTCCATAGACCAAGCTAGAAATAAACAGAGAGGAAAACTATGAATATCTTTACACAATATTCTTAACAACAACGAATGTTTTATTCCTCTAAAAAGGACACACTCGTTGTAGAGAAGAGGCCGAGGTTTCTAGAGCTTATATTCAGACAACAGGAGTCCACAAAAGATTAAAGGCAGAATTGGGCAACAATCCTCCAGACTACAGTGTATTTAAACCCAACCAACAACAAAAAATCATATTTGTAAATTTAACCCTGCTGTGTTGCTGGATCACATGTTTTCCCTTTCCTTTCCATTGGACAAAGCCAGCTGTCCATATTGGATTTTCATGGCTGATCCCCAATACAACCTTGAGACAATGAAATAGGGCTTTCACTGCTAAAGCCATGAATACTTAGGTGAAAACAATCTTTTATGTCTATACACATATCTAAAAAAGGAAATAAAATCGTTCATTAATCCCAATGCGATGATTGGGCAATGATCATCTAAAGTCTCTTGATATCTGATAGTGAACCTATGCTTTGCTCATGAAGACTAAAGCAAGAGGTTTATTTTCATATGCCCCCCACCCCCTTCATAGCAGTCAACACTTTCCCTTACTGCTCCCTTTTGCCACTAGGAGCAAGGTAAGTTCTGGGCTGGATTTCCAGTCCGGGATTTACAAATGGTTGACTTTCTCCACACATTTACGTCAGGTAACCAATGCTGCTTAAAAATTACAACTGGAGCCTATATTTTGAGTTTTTCTTTAGTTGTTGTCTATGGAGCTTTCTCCTAAAAAAAAATGTTGTGGGCTCCTGGATTGGACAAACTGGCCCCTAAATTTCATAATGATTTGTCCACCCCTGCCTTGACATGATAACACTGGCAAATCACCAAGCACCAGCAAGGTAACATGGAGTAAGTCACGTGTTCCTACATACCCTGAAGTACCAGGCACTTTCTTTGCTCCTTTCTTCACAGCTGAATAGAGTGGCAGGGAACAATGTAAAAGTTATTTGCCCTAGGGGGACCCAGCTTTAAATTGAACCTGTAGCTTTGCCTTGCCTCACAAAGACACAAAGTCTTTAAAAGGTAGCGGTTGGAGCCCACACTCCAGTCCTGATGCCTGCAAAGTGCTAGCTAAGCACCACACCAGAAGCAGGTTAAGACTCAGTACACACAAGCACTAAGGCCCAGTTCATACTAGTGAGATTTGTTCCTTGTCTGCTGTCTCGCTGCACAACAATAGAAATGATATATTCCTAATGGTGCTCGTTCACATCAATGCAACATGGGGCAGTGTGATATTTAGAAAGGTCTTGGTGCTTCAGTGAAGTATTTATATTTCAAGAAAACAAGATGAACTAAGAACTCAGCATTTAGGCAATGGTTGACTCCAAGCCCTTTGATTAACTTTGTTCTACTCAACAACCCCTTGTTGGACATTTTCAAATTCAACACACAAAAGGTAAAACTGGTGATGTGGATGCCTACTATCAAGGTTGCACAAATCGCAGGAGCTTGGTAGCTTAAAGGACTTTCAGTTGGTGTTCAAGCCTTCTATTGATGTCTGTGTGTTAGATACCTTATGTTCCATTGCCCTAACAAGCTTAAAAATAATATAATAACTTGCCTGCCCATGGCTACCATCTACCACACAAGGCAGGTATCCACCTTAAATAATCTAGAACATGTGTGCATGGCAGGTAACAAAGCTGTGCACATAGCGCCTGTAAACGTGAGAATACACATACAAGAACACTGCGCCACCACTTCTTAGAACGCTTGTGACAATAAAGTCAGACAGCAGAGAATAAATCTCTATAGCCCAAGGCATAACTCAGCACCTGTGCAAACAAGAGGGCACACAAGGAGAAGCTTGTTGCTGGAAAGAATTTCTTGCAGAAATGGTTCAATTATTAAGACGGAGATCAGTTCAGATAGCATTATTAAAAGGGGAACGCTAGACAAAATTGATTGAAAGCGGTTAGTTTGAACGACTTTCTTTTAGGAGAAAATTGTTCATGTGCTCTCCTCCTCAAGCAGAAATTGAGGCTATATTTTGTAAACTTACATTTCACCATATACATTTGAACGTGCAAGGACAATTTCATCTGTCTCTATGTCCACTCTGCCAGCTTTGACTCTATGCAGGCTATGCGGGAGGGAGATGTGTAGCTTAACTTCCTGCAGACAAGTCTAGGTCCCGACTTGTCTTGGGTTATATGGCAGCCATGAGAGGATGAGGTGTTCCAACCCTCTGATCACTTTATACCCCACTATAGGAGTTCTAAACTTTAACTGGTTGACATTTTGTTTGCTAAAGCATTGAGTACTACAAAAAAAAAATGCATCTCAGTACTACTGATCTCTTTTAGCCCCTTTCTGTCTACATGCACTTTTCCAGTGTTGGCTGCATCATTGCTCTGGGCAGCTTCCCGATAGTGATAATGGTTGACCAGGGCTGTGAAATGTGCATCAGCACAGTTACTTCTGGTCTCCACTAATGATGAACCTGGGCTTGGCATGCACCCAGCTAGCCTGAGTTCATTTAGGCCACCAGTCCCCCCCAGTCACAGTTTTGAGCGGGATCGGGCGAACTGGGTTCAAACTAAGCCCAGGTCCAAACCTAGCCTATGTGACAGGATAACAACGTGACTGGGAGACAGTTGTCAATTGATAAACACAAAGTACCTGAGCAAGGACCTTTGTGGCAGGATCACCAGTTTACATGCTTGGTAAGTATACATAACAGACATAGGGGGATGGTGTAGAAAAGGAAAAACCTGTACATGAATCTAGGACACATCAATTTGATTTCATTACAAAGTTACACGGAATATTCATAGATATAGACAGTGCAATGGCACCTCTGCAACATAGGTAAGTAAGGGAAACGGGTCCCAAGTATCAGGAAGACAGAGCGCCAGGACTCAGGAGACAGCACTAGAGGGGGTCCATATGTACATGTGTAGAAAGTGAATCAAAACAACTGGACCTGCTATATTTTTCTTTTAGATGTTTCGCTGGTTATTCGACTAGCTTTCTCAATTCAGAATTCTCTCATTTCTGAATTGCGTAACTAGTTGGATGACCAGCGAATCGTCTTTGAAAAAATCCAGGGAGTCCAGTTGTTTTGAATTATTTACAGATATACCATGACCTCGATGAATGAGAACCTTCACAGACACATGCACATGGTTATTGGGACCTGCGTTAAAAAAAGGGCGGTGGGGGGAATCAGTGTATCAACCCTCGGCGCACCAGGTACTCTTTTAATTAATGCTGGATATTTATAAATATTTGACGTCACATTAAGTCAAGGTAAAGCTCGTGTGAGATTTTATGATTCTAGTGACTGGGTTTACATCTACTTTAACTGTCATGCAGCACTATCTGGGGATGCCCAAAAGACATCTTCACAGGATCCAAACAAAAACCACAAAAGAGGTTGAGAGGGCAAATACTTCCTCAGTTTCATCTTCTGCTGTTCGTTAATTACAGAGAATAACGTAGACACACTGTAAAAACTCAAAAGCATGAGTACTATTGATCTGTATATAGTTAAATCAATTGTTTATTTCCCAGTGCAGCAAAAAAATAAAAAATTTGCAGAAATTATTAACATCTAGTTCAGCAAGAATATCTAATGTGCCACTAAATAAATTCAAAAAAGAAAAAAAAAGTATGGTAATGAAGATACCACATGCATTATATGGTATAGTGATTTTTCTTTTTTTTAGTGGGAGGGGGTTGTTTTGACTATAATTCTCCCTTAAAAGGAGAACTATGAGGTGAGTGAAAATCACTCATCCCCATAGTTCGAGCCGACGTGTGACAATGAAACTGTCACAGGTCGGCTCAATAGATCGGGAAGTGAGCAAACACATACCGTCGCTCGCTCACTTCTCGATCCTGTCCCTGCAGAGAGCCCTGACTGTCACTCACGGCTCCCTGCAAGGATTCCCCCTTCCCCTCTCTGATCCTCCAGCGCTGACTGGCGGAACGGACGGGCACAGCTGGCTCTGCCTCTAGATAGGCAGAGCCAGCTGTCAATAACGCAGCTGGGTGGATCCAGACAGTAAGTTCGGGATCCGTCCTGGCTGCGGCAGTCTCAGTGTACTGAGCTTTGGGTCACGGGAGGACGCTAGTTTGTGTCCTCCCGTGACCCTGGGGAGAACTATGGGGAAAAGCACTGACCCCATAGTTCTCCTTTAAAGTATACAGTAAATTAAGCAAATTCCTAAGATCTCATATAAAGTTTACCACGTAATTTCAATATTTTTGTATCTAGTGATCCTGCCCTGAAGGACATTGTTCAGGCACTTTCACACCTTTTAAAGGGTACCAATGCGTGTCTTAAATCTCCCAATTGCTCTCCAGCTCAGTCACCCTGTGGCACATATTACACAGCCATGGTCCACTGTTACCAAAAAAAAACCATCCCGAGACATGCCATGCAGCCAGGAAATGGCTGCAAAAAAGGCTGCTAGACATCAGCAGCACTGAGAGAGTACTCGCCCAAATGCTCCGATACCTTTGCCGATACTGGAACTTCCGGTCAGAGGGAGATTTCCTCTGACCGGCAGTGCCGCGAGGGAACATGGAGCCGGGAAGCTGGCTACGTGCTGTTTGCCCGTCTCGCTGCTGATTGGCCGGGAAGCCGGCTTCCCAGCCAATCAGTATCGAGCTGGGCAAACAATCTGATATGGCGACACGACCCCCACCCTGCAGACAAATCATACCCCTCACATAGATCCTTCGCAGGAGTCATTACCGTACCAGTCCCTCAGCCAGCTGGGCAGACACCGTTCTTCAAGCTCTCCGGGATCTGCCCACGTCTCCAGTGTGCACAGCGCCCGCGTGACCGCCCCTCATCCTGCTACTGCGCATGCACAGGATTTCTGAATGAGAGCGCCGGGCAGTCTGCGCAGTAGCAGGTTGAGGGCCAATCATGTGGGCGCTGTACACACAGGAGACGTGGGCAGAGCCGGGAGAGCGGTGTCTGCCCAGCTGGCCGAGGGACTGG